ATGGGTGATGGAAAACAAGGGCTTTGTTTTTGGGGTTTTCAGGCAGCACTGTATGATTTCATGCTGTAGAGTACATTTATACAGCCATTTGGATGCTGTTTTTGAAGGTGCTGGTTTCAACTGGTTGGTGCCGTTCTCCGCGTTTTTTGGAGCCAAGAATTATCAGTGCGAGAGATTGGCCAATTCCTGTAATCATTGGCGGGTTTCTGAAAAAATGGTGCATCTAAAATTGTTGACTTGCTGGTTGGTGGTTTGGAACATGAATTGTATTTTTCCAATCAGTTGGGAATTTCATCATCCCAACTGACGAACTCATACTTTCCAGAGGGGTAGGTCAACCACCAACCAGATATATATGTAATATAGCCATATACCCTCTGGTAAACTAACATAACTATGGAAAATCACCATTTATAGTGAGTTTTCCCATGAAAAATGGTGGATCTTTCCATAGTTATGTTAGTTTACCAGAGGGTATAACCAACAACTAATGGGATGGGATACCCTCTGGTATTCATCCACGTGGCTGGAAAATCCCCGTTTTGGATTTTCCCAGAGACACCTCCACGATTTCTGGGGGATTTCCCAGGGGATTTCCCAGCTTTGCCACAGTGCTTCGCGGTGGTTGGCAATGGGACATATGATATGATGCATTTTGGAGTATAGTGTAGATAGTCAATCAATTACGACCAATTCATTAGGTACATTCGATATTTTAGGTTTGGGCAAGGGGCAAGGTTTCAGGCTTCGATTGAGTATGACAATTTTTGATTTTGATGGTCATTCTTGGGATACTATTGCCATGCAATTGCTTGATGCTCTTAAAGTTTTGTTGGCTCACACCCTTGTTGGTTCTAGACACAATGTACTACTCTGATATCACCAAAATACAGATATGGTATGGAGAGAACGCAATCCTAGGCCACCAATTATCCTCGAATTCGTTCAAGGTAAGATCTTCAGGAAAGAATCCGGAGTTTCTTATATCTTCCCATTCTAATCCCATTGAAATCCCATCATAATTCCCATTAAAATCCAAAAAAATCCCCTTGAATACATGGAAACCTTCATGTTACCCTCTGGTAAATTAACATAGACCCTGAAAATCACCAATTTTTAGAGGAAACTAATCTTCCAACCCCTATCTACCAGGGTCTATGTTAATTTACTGGAGGGTATAATCCCGTTAAACCTTGTCTTTACATTTTTTAATCCATTTCCCGTGTCACGGCTCGAAGAGGGCAATTCACGACGGGTCTTTACCCAAACAGAAAGGGCAATTCACGAAGAACAAATGCTGATTTATTGGGATTTAACCAACATTTTTTTGGTGAAGAAATGGTGAAGAAATAGGGTAAACACCTTCCAAGAAAAGTGGAGAAAGACATCATGAAAGCCTTAGTATCCCAAAGTATGGTGATATATTGGGATTTATACAACAAAAATGGTGAACAAAATAGGGAACAATGTTGTGGCTTTCCTTAAGTTCCCAAGCCCCACAGTATCGAATGACTCCCATCCCAATTTTGCAAGTGTTTGTCTTCCTGTTTAAAAGCAACTCATTTGTTTGAATCTAATTATATACGTATATATATATATATACTGGTTGGTGGTTTGGAACCATGGAATTTTATGACTTTCCATTCAGTTGGGATAAAACATCATCCCAACTGACTTGGAACACTCCATCATTTTTCAGGGGGGTAGGGCGAAAAACCATCAACCAGATTATTATTAATCATCATTAACCATATATGAACCATATATTAACCATATATGAACCATATATTAACCATATATTAACCATATATTAATCATATATTCACCATATATTAACCATTATTGTTTGATAACCACATATATATATACATATCCCATGGGATAGTTGGTAACTAAGATGGGATGGTATAGTTGACGTTCCACCCGATTTGGGATGATCAATAAATGTCCCATGTCTTTTTATCAACACCACATTTTTTCAGACACCGCCAAATTATTCAATTATTGGTGAGTATCACATCAACATATATATATAATACATATATATATAATACATATATATATATATAATACATATATATATATATAATACATATATATATAATACATATATATATAATACACACATATATATATATAATATAATACATATATATATGTTTATATTCTATTAAATTGTTAAATTCTCATGTTCCCATACATTTCCCTAGATTTCCCATACATTTCCCATCTATTTCTTCATCCCTGGGCTGCTTTCGCCTTGGTGCCGCCATGGCTGTTGGCAGAGAGCACAAGGGAGGCCGTTGCCACAAAATCTTTGGGACGTTTAACTGGTGATATACCATGGATCTACAGGATATACCAATTAGTGATATACCATGTACCCGGCCTGGTAAACATACAAAAAACGACATAGAAAATGGCCCAGTCGAAATAGTGAGTTTTCCCATGAATAGCATGGTGGATCTTTCCATAGTTTGTTGTAAACGTTCACCAGAGGGTATACCCATAGTTGTGATTTCCATCTGGTTATGACTAACATAGCCATGGAAAATCCCAACCATAAATGGAGGTTTCTAGCTGGGAAAATCATCTATTTCTATGGGCCATCTATACCATGGCGAACTGTTAAATAACCAGAGGGTATATCAAACTTTGATATATGGGGGTTTCCATAGTCATGGAGCTACCCCAAAAACGCTGGATGGTTTATTTCATGGAAAATCCGATTGAAATGGATGATATGTTGATATCTTTTGATTGTGCCAAGGTGACAGCGGTTGATTTCGGAATAGAAACCTGCTCTCTGGTGGGTGTGCGGATGACAGGGGGCCGTTTGATTCTCGTGGTTCTATATGAAACATGGCCAGTTCAAGCATCGGGGGGGTAGTAACCAACAGATGATTCAGAACCACCAGAAATCAACCCAACTACCATCTGGTTATTTAACATAGCCATGGAAAATCACCATGTTTAATGGGTAAGCCATCTATAAATGGGTCATTTTCCATGGCTATGTTAAATAACCAGAGGGTATAGGAATCAATAGGCTTCACTCAACCAAACTTGGGGTAAACCATCCCAAATGAAGGATGAATTAGACAATACCAAACAAAACAAACTGGAGATTCAATCAGTCGAAATTGGGCAATCTCCAACCATAAAATCTGGTGTAAAGCCATGAGACTGCTCAAGACTCTCCTTGAACCCTTTATGCTGATCGTTTCTTTTGGATCATAATGATCCCCTCTAAGTTTTACTGAAGCAATAAACCAGCCATAGTTTGATGCCTCAGAAACTATGGGTATTGTGGATTATTGCTTCAAACTATGAAGCAATAAACCATCCACAATCCCCAAATTTACCAATAAACCATCCATTTCTGGTAAATTTGGGGATGGTGGATCGGTGGATCCTGCACCAGCAGTTTTTTCCCTCCTTCTCCACGTCAGCAGCTCAGCGTTTTCGCCCATTTCAGGCGCCCGCCGGTTGATCAGTTCCATCTTGGAAGATGTCGCTCAGCGGCATCCAACCAGCGCCGGCAATCCCTGGGATGGTGTAACTGAAGTGTGGCTAAAGAGCTATGGAATATCAGCTTTCATAGGTGTATGATGTATAAATGGGCAATTTTCCACAGTTCAATCACCAGAGGGTCCTTATGGTTTCCTTTCAATCTTCAATCTTCATTTCATTTGAGAAATGATTTTTGGAACTGAGCATTGCAAAGTCTTCACACCAATCCCTTCCCAATGTCAAACACCACCAAATGAAATCTTGATTTAGTACTTGGGGGTGCATCCAGGGTTTGTCAATACCCCAGTTATATGAATGGCTTAGTCATTAATGGTTTTGTCTGAACATATGGGACCCCATTCCATCCCCATTCCATCCGTTAGTCATCATTTTCCCGAACATCACATTGCCACGTTGATTTGCTATACCTCATTTTCAGACCCATATGGCTACGACTAACCGGGCTAAGAAAATGAGCAGCTGTGATGCAGAAAACCCTGTGATGAGGGATCCCCAAAACGGAGGTTTCAATACTGAGAGAATCTAAGTTGGATGACTGGGGGAAACCCCATGACTTCGGAAGCCTCCATCTATATGTGCCATGGTCAAAAGGTCAAAAGTTAGTTAGATTATATATATATATATATGTATACACATGAACACTATATAATATAAATCTATATAAATGGTATAGATAGAATGTATTGTTTTTGGGAACGGTTTTTTGGGACCGACTAGGCCCCATATGCCATGCCATGCCATGATTTCGCATTTCTTCGCTGCGGAATCTCCATCGATAAAATCAGGTGGATGCTTTGGAGATCACGGAGGTGTGGTCGGAGCTTTCAGCGATTTTCAGAGACTTACCCGACCTGGTAAACATACGAAAAACGATGGACAGATTCACCGCTATTAATGGGAAACCCATGGGAAAACCATTGGAAAATGGTGATTTATATGGAAAGATCCACAGATCCACCATGCTATTAATGGGAAACTCACTATTTCGACTGGGCCACTTTCAATAGCAAACTGTATGTTTACCAGAGACTGGTGTCACAAACATCAGAGGTTGGTGATCACATGTGATTTCTGTCTTTTTTCCGTACTGAACTGAAGAAACGCATGCGAACTCATTGTGATTGACATCGCGAACTCATCAAACTTTCAGCTGTTTTTGGCGCTGTTTTAGCAGCGGATGTCCCACGGGGAAAACCACAGACTGTGCTGCTCACCTGCGCGGCGATGCTGCTCAAACAAACAGTTTCACCAGCAGAGCGATGAAAGCGATGTGAGTCTGAGATCCTGCGAATCAGCAGAGTTGGAGTCACAACAAGACATTTTTTCAGACTATGGCTACCAGAATATATTAGTATAGAAATATATATATATGTATATAGAAATATACGTATGTATATATATATATACACAGAAATATATATATGTATATAGATATACATACATATGATTGTTTTTTCCTTCCTCCAGCGTCTTCCGCCTTGGTCATGCCGCCTGCCAAAGATGCAGAGCAGATGGCCGAGAAGATCGCCGAGAAGATCTTGGCGGAACGGGGCCCGTCTCCAATTGATGGTGATGGTCATAGACCATTTCTAAACCCAAAATGGATGGGAAGTCTGAAATAGTTGAAGGTCGACATAAAATCTCACAATATCTCATAATATCTCATAACTCGTGGCAGATGAACATTCAGATGTTTTAGAATCATGTCAGGTCAAACTTCACTTGGCACAGTTTTCCAGGCAGGTACCAATGATGCTTTGATGACCAGTTCATCATGGTTCGTTCATGTCCAGTTTCGATTTTGCTTCGTCGCTCTGAAAAGGACATGTCCAGTTTTGGTGTTGGAAACCTGGAAATTAGGGGAAACAGACTATGAAAAAAAGCCCTCCGGAAGTCGTGGAAATGGAACATCCCGCCAATAGTCATGGAGGTAAAAATCCCGGAAAAAACATCGACACATGGGTGTTTTCTATAACTAAGCGCGGGTGATGACAGAGGCTAATCATATTGATCTGGTTGGTGGTTTGGAACATTTTTTATTTTCCATAATATATGGGATGTCATCCTTCCCATTGACTTTCATATTTTTCAGAGGGGTAGGTCAACCACCAACCAGTGATTTTCGACATCCTGAAAGCTTCGTTAATTTTCGACATCTTCGGTTCGACATCTTCGCATGGCGATGATGACACCCTACCGGGAAGATCCGCAGATGAAAATCATAACTTTGACCGACCGCGACATCTTCGTTTTTCCATGATAAATCACCTGCAAAATCACTATTGATAGATGGTCTTCCCATGTTTTCCCATGATATTCCCATTCGATCCCATCAAATTCCCATAACAATTCCATAAAATTCCCATAACAATCCCATAAAAAGTCGCATAACAAATCTACAAATCCTATGAAAATCTTCAACGGATGCCACTGGGATAGCAACGTCAGATCTGCCGTCTGCAGGATCTGCCGGGAGAAGCGTCCAGCCATTGGCAGAAACATATGCCACGGCATGGGCTCATGTGGAGGGAGACCGTTCCCTGGTAAAACGGGCGTCTGTAAAACTGGGGGGGGGCTTGGCTGTAAAACTAATGGGATCAACTGGAGGAACTGGGTGGTTGAGATGTTTATCAATGTTTATCAATGTTTATCCATATTTATCATTGTTGTTGAGATGTTGTTTATCAATGTTTACCCTCTGGTAAACAGACAAAAAACTATAGAAAGATCCACCATTTTCAATGGGAAAATCCACTATTTCTATGGTCATTTTCAATAGCTATGTTAAATTACCAAGGGGTATCATTGTGGTTGAGATGTTGTTTATCAATGATCTGATTTTTGGAGCAGTTGAAGGGCTAAACAAATTCGTCAAACGGAGAGTTCATCAACAAAGGCGGTGTAAACCATAAAAACACCATGGGTATTTCGGTATTTCACGAGAAGTGACCAACGACAGGGATTTCACCACGATGTTGACTGGCCGTCACCCCACAGGTGCTTTCCCCCCTCAACCCTCAATGGTAACTTATACCCTCTGCCAATTCGTTACAGTTACAAGGTTCTGTGAAAGTAGATGATATTATATATATACACATATACATACATATACTGTATGTATATTAGACAATTAATTACATACGTACGTACGTACGTACGTACGTACGTACATCCATCCATCCAGACATAGTTTGTATATAGATAGATAGTTTACCTATCATTTGCATGGCTTCACTGAATTCCTATGAATCTCCCTGCTTTTTGCAAGGACTTTTGGGGCGATCTGGCCCTAGACCTTCCGAAGAAACAACTTCAACGACCTGAAACCTGCAGGTCGTCAGCTGGGTCGAGGTTTTTTCTACGATCTTTGAGGTCAGTGGATTCAGTGGATCCCCCCCAAAAAAAATCCACGAGAAGAGAAAGAGAGTTGTAAAATCCTGATCAAAACTGGATAATTTTGGTTTGTTAATCCCCAAATCTAATTTTGGAGTTTGGATATTTTGCTGGAGACGATATTCAGGATGTTAATCAAGTGGCCATTGAAAATTACGATGATAGATTGATCAACTGAGATACCGTTGGCTTTGTTTTTTTTTTCGTCTAAAGTTTCAGACAACATTTTTGAACTTACCAGTAAAATACAAGGAAACTAGGCTTGGAAGACGGGCATGAACATGATCGCAGCGGATGGTGAACAGAATCCAAGTGTTGGGTCAGTTGGATGGTTAGTAACCGTGATTACTTCGAAGAAAATCGGGCTTTGAATAGCTATTTCCCAAACACAAACGACTATGGATGCTGCAACCAATAGCTAGTACCTGGGTCCAAAACCATTTTTTTCCGAACCATCAATAACCATCAACAATCAAAGGCCATAAACCACTAAGCATTTCACACCCATCAGAAAACGTCAACCATTAACAATCATTGGCAAGTATCAATGGATAATGATTGACTATCATTGATAACAATCAATATCAAAAACAACCATATGAAACATTATCAATGATTGATAACTATCAATAACCATTCAATATTTCCGCAACCATGCAATATCTATCAACAAGGTCACGCTGTGGGAAATGCAACAACGTAACATCACGAGCGGGTTGACATGTTCATATGTTCAGATTGGAAATTACTATGGGAAGTGCAAACAAGTATCATCAAAGAACGCACTCACCACCCCCACCCCACACCATGCAAAAGTTACCATGAACAGAAATACAAACGTCATCAACATATCTCAAACACACAAAAGATGCTAAATTCCTCAGCGCGGCTATTGACTGCGTGAGCTATCGAGAACCATGAATAAGAGTCAGGTCTGTGAATGACCATTTATAACCCTCAATAGCCACATCTACTTCCAAACTACTTAATAACCATCAAAAAACATTAGAACATCAATAAACACCATTCAATAACCATTAACTAACTGTTTTCACAACCATTAGTGTCAGTACCAATTTACATTTCTATGTCCATAATCATTTCCATATAAATAACCATCAAACAAACATTACAACAACCAACAAACAATTATTAAACAGCCATCAACTAGCCAACAAAACACCATGAAAGAACAATTAAAACACCATTAAAACACCATAAACCATACAAAACCAGCCGTCATATATCCATTTAAGTATCATCAACTATAGCAACCAATGAAACCCCATCAAATAATCATTACTGTACACCACAAGAAAATCTAATCTGACAAAGTGGTATTAAAACCAGAATGAAATCTCATTAGATACCTAGATTCACAACCAAGAGTAATATGGATAACTCATTCTATTAGTAGAACTGTATCTACAACCATGGTTATTTGACATATAACATTTCCATATTATGGATGGTTACTATTTCCTTTTATAGTGGTTACTATTTCTCTATGTGTATTTTCCTATAAATGGGAACATGTCTAAACCATTGGACATGTCTACAAAGTACCATTAATACCATGAAAAACACCCTAAATCACATCAAGCATCCCAGATTAAATTCCATTAAAATTCCATTAAAATCCCATTAAAGTCCATTAAAATCCCATTAAAGTCCATTAAAATCCCATTAAAGTCCATTAAATCCCATCAAGTACCATGAACTCCCTATTTTTTCTGTAGCCGTCCACATCTCCGCCAGGTGCATCCACGACTGCAACTTCTGCCGGGAACAGCGGCAGACGCTGAAGGAAGAGAAACCCAGGAGCCGACAACCTGACGGCAACAGAAATGGGGAAAACCACATGTTTCGCAGTGGCGGCTGCTAAACAACCCCTGTCGGTTGATGATTAGTTCGGGGATTATACTACCTAATATATCCCCAATATATCCCAATATATCCCAATATATCCCAATATATCCCAATATATCCCAATAACAGATGGGTTTTGATATATTGGGGAGTATGATATTCCAAGAACGTGGAATCCCGTTCTTAACCAACCAGGATTCAATGGAATGAAAGAGGGATGGCTTGAAGACTCACTTAAAACCAGAAAACCCATGGGCCATGGCAGTAAAACCCTTCATTTTCCATAGAACACATTGGAACTTTTACTTTTTTATTTCTGGTGATGATGGTGATGATGGGTTAAAACCATTGGAAACATGGTGGTTGAACCAAGAAAACATATGGATTTGATGCGATTTATGTGGAAACATCATGGAATTAGAACTATGTAGTTGATTTCATTCCCATGTGTACAAGGCAGGGCCCGCTAGTTATGTTTGTTGGTTTATAAACCCCATTAATGATAGTTATATCTACCATAAATCCGGGTCAACATAGTTATAAAACAACTTTGCTGACTAGGGGGGCCAGCTTGTAAGATTTTCCATACATTTGGGGGGATTAATGCCCATAGACACCGGCTATTTTCATGGGGAACACATCTGTAAAACAGGAACATGCGGCAACCATGAAAGAAAGGATGGGGGGGGAGTGGCGAACAACGGGGCATAAAAGAGATGGAAAAAGACCGTGGTCAAATAAGATACCCTCTGGTAAACATACAAAAACTATAGAACATCATTAATTTTACAAGGTAAATCAACCATAAATGGCCATTTTCAATAGCCATGTTAGTTTACCAGAGGGTAAGTATAAACCAACCTAAATCAGGTTTTCTTGTTTCATTATTTTATCCAACGAATAGCAGGAAATTTCCTAATTGGTTACTCGAAAAGGACCGGACAGGTCGCTATTTTGTGTCAATTGATACTGATCATTAGTGATATATATATATATATACACACGTGTATATATGTACATATAATATACATATATATTATATGTATATGTATATATATATATATGTATAATGGACTTAACCATTGGACACAGGAAATTAATGCAATATTCATGGGGAGATTTGCCGATTAACAGAACCAACTGCAATCAGAAGCTGGATAACAAAAACCCCAGATTGGGAGTGGTCATCAGTCCATGGGGTTTTCATATACTCATTACAAGGAATTACCATCTGGTTATGACATTCACAGTTCGCCATGGAAAGATCCACCCATTTTTAAGAACGGTAAACCATCTATTCCTATGGACCATGGCTTCACCATGGCGATTTTTGTCCGCCAGGCTCCCTACGCCCGGCTCGCGTGGCTTGGTGAACAATTTTACGGTGGACAGACACAAAACGGGGGTGTTTTCAAGCTAAGATCATGTGCGAATGACCATACCCAATTTTGGTTCATGATTGGGTTTACCAGATGAATTTGGTTACATAAATCACCATCAATATTACCATAGAATGTTTGACTATATCGACCATAGATCACCATCAATGGGATCGCCTCATGTTTTTTGCCAAGGGATAGCCAGTGGCCCCTGGATCCTTTATGGATCAAGATCAGCCACTGAATCGCCGAACATGACCCTCTGGTATACAAAAAACGATGGAAAGATCCACCATTTTAAATGTGTAAATCAACGAGATCTAAATGGCCATTTTCAATAGCAAACTGTGAGTTACCAGAGGGTATGAATGTTTATTTCCATGAATGTTTCAAATTCTACCAGGAAGGGATTCCGGGCAAATGATCATAGTTTATTTTAGCCTGAAATTAGTATGCTGGTTGGTGGTTTGGAACATGAATTTTATCTTTCCATATATTGGGAATGTCATCATCCAAACTGACGAACTCATATTTTTCAGAAGGGTGGGTCAACCACCAACCAGTATGAGTGGAAATCGTGGTACCGTTCTGTTGACGAAGAGCTTCTCGTTTTGAAATTTCATCCCCACTCCATGGTAAAAAAATCTAAAAACCATTCATCGATATCCCGATATGGGTATAATATTCATTAGTCATCTGTATCCTATACAAATGGGTATGTATTGATTATATATTCAGTAATCATTTACCCTCTGGTAAACAGCCACATAACTATGGAAAATCACAATTTTTAATGGGAAAACTCACTATTTCCATGGCCATTTTCAATAGCTTTTTGTATGTTTACCAGAGGGTACATATCCACTTAGTTCACTGGAACAGCACTTCTATTATAGAATATCCAGCTATAGTTCTATATATATATATTCAGTAATCATTTATATCAATACGTTTTTTTTTTAAATGGGATATTGATATCACATCGTCCCGTCTCTGGGGCGAGGTGTCCAGTCGCCCTATGTGGCGCCCTTTCTGAGACCAGGACGCCGCAGTCGGAGGACGGCCCGGACGAAAAATCCCGAGCGAAATCCGATGGGGATTGTTGAAGATTGGTTGCTAAAATGTCCCATAGAAAAAGCGAATTAAAATGCAAAAAGCTATTGAAAATGGCCCATAGAAATGGTGGATCTTTCTATAGTTGTGCTAGTTTACTAGAGGGTATTCAATAATCAATAGCAATATTACTTGTATGGTTGCAATAATCCTATACAAGTAATATCCTGAAAAATACCAATAATCAATCGTATGGTTGCAACAGTAATAACCATACAGTAATAACCATACAATAACCCATTGATTATTGGTATTGAAAGCATGATTATTGGGACCTGGTTATTGGGAGAGTGGGAGAATATGATGGTTTATGGTTTGTCCTAAAAAAGGGACATGGTTATAATCTATAGCCCAGGTTTATCATGGTTGTTGTTGTGGTTATTGGGACATATTGGGACATAGTCAACCATGACATTCTCCTGAACAAAATATGCTCATCTCGATATTATAGAAATAGTGGCTTATTGGTTCGAACCATAAATCACATTATAAGGATAATGATGGTTTACAACCATATGCAAACATTGGTTATGGGCTTATTTCACACACACCCATAATTATCCATAATCGTAATTTACAAAACCGGCCTTTGACATAAGGTTATCACCATATTTATGATGCATTATAAGGTTATCACACATATCGTTCTTTATATCACACACATCATTCTTTTTTTTCTGGGGGGTGATGCATCATAAATATGGTGATTTTTTTGGTGATATAGTTGGTACATGATGGTTGATGATGGGCCATTGTTTTTTTTCGTTATATATGGTCCCGTGTCCCGTGTTCCCACCCCCCCCCCCATGGGATGGGGGGGGGTATGATGCCCCTGTGGTGGTGTATATACATACATACATACCTACATACCTACCTACCTACCTACCTACATACCTACGTACATACATACATACCATTACATTACCTTACCTTACATTACCTTACCTTACATTACCTTACCTTACCTTACATTACCTTACCTTACATTCCATACATACATACATACATACATACCAACATACCACTACATACATAACATACCAACATACCTACATACCAACATACCAACATACCAACATACCAACATACCAACATACCAACATACCAACATACCAACATACCAACATACCACCACCACAGGCCACGGGGGGGAGGGGACCAGAAGAACCATACCACCACCACAGGCCACAGGGGGGGGGGACCAGAGGAACCATACCACCACCACAGGCCACAGGGGGGGGGGGACCAGAAGAACCATACCACCACCACAGGCCACAGGGGGGGGACCAGAAGAACCAGACGATACTGTCCACCCATACCCATTGGTGGGGGGGGGAGGGGGGGTGGCCAACGCTGCACCATATATATATATATTTATCACCCATGAAATCTAGGTAATACGATTAGATATCAATTAGATACCAACTAGATATCAATTAGATATCGCTTAGATATCACTTAAATATCAATTAGATATCACTTAGATATCAATCATTGATCAGACAATATCATACATATACAATTGCTTCGCGGCTCATAGTACCGAGGAATCAAATATCATGCATAGCTGTATTAATAATGAATATGACGACATATCATTTCGAATTTGTGATATATTTGTGTTATGAAACCAGAGTTTTTGATGCCAAAACACATAGTTGCCCTTGACTCAGGAGTCAGCGCGACATTTGGAAGCATCGCGAGAGAGGTTACAAAGCAGGAGACATCAGCTTGCAACGCAGGTGCTGTCAATGCTAGGGCTGGAAAGCTGAACCCGCTATTCTTGGGTAAACAGACAGTTCTTGTTACCGGGAAACCATTCCAAACTGAGTTTTTTGAGGGGAAATGCAATTGAAGAGGAAGGGTTCGATTGAGTGAAAGGTTCTTGATCCACTATATATATATGTATATATATAATATATATATGTATATATATAATATATATATATATATGCTCAGCGGCCCCCCCTCGACCCGCAATTTCCATGTGTTTTCCATCGCACTTCCTGGTCTTATCGTGACCATATATATATATATGTATAGTCTCACCACTCCATTTTTCCCTTGAATTTTCACCAAGATAATCTGCATCCTCAGCTTAAATATGGATCAGCACCTGAATTGAGAAAGACAAAAACACAATAAAACAAAATACTTCCAATTAATGAGAGAATCCATTTTGTCCAAAACCTTCATAACCTCAATGAAAAACAATCACTAAGAAGGGTCAGGGATCCCTTTACCACAGGTAAAAAACCACAGGTTAAAAACCAAGGTCTACCACAGGTAAAAAACCATTGGGTTTATCTAGGGTTGGATTTGGGGTTTTGAGGGCTTTTACCACGGTTTTAGTGAGATTTTACTTTCAAGGCTTAGGGTTTCATGTCAGATTTAGGTTCTAGGGTTTAGGATTTGTGTCGAAACAGATCTCGTCAGCCATTCGGCCAGCCCTGCCCACATCCCAAAAAGCACTTCCCCGCACAGCGACCATGTATAGTAACTCCCCAAAAGAGCAAAAAAGTCATATCCTACAAAAAATCATGATAAATTCCCAATTGATCTTGTTTTTTGGGGCTGAGTGTTTTTGGTCCCATTATATCCCCATAACAAATCTCCGTAAATTCGAAACTCCACAGGTGTATAGAGTTGCACATGCCCGCGCACGTGGTGTTGCACGACGACCTGCGTCGTAGTGACCAAGCAATGTTGGATGCAGAGGAACTTCTGAGTGGCCACTGGGACCGACGGTGAAAGGGGTGGTTTTTTCGGCAACTTCGGATTTTTTTCAGGTGATTTATGGTGCTTAGTTTTACTCTTTTAGACTTGTTTTAAGGTGATGTTTTTCTGGTGATTTATGCTGGCTTTTTATGGTGATTTGATGCTGATTTATGGCGATTTCTGGTTGGTTTATGCTGTTTTTTTCTGTGGGTTTTTGGGGGTGTGGTATGTGCTGTTTTACATCGCAAAAGCTCGCAATCGATTCGTTGCAATGATCAGGCAGCTATCACTGGGACACTGGCTATCGGAATCCAAAATTTGATAACCAAATTTCTAGATCAATTGGTTGATGGTACCTCCATGGAAATATCTTGTAGATACTTAAGTTATTTCTAATGTTTCTATGTTCTGCTTCAATATTGATGATCAACCATCATTAACACTCCCTTTTAACGCCTGAAATGTTACTTGGAATCATGGTGTCATTCTGTGTTTCCAGGTCAAAGACGGAAAAAGGAGGCCGTTGACGCGTTGAGATCACCAGCAAGTCACCAGCGGGATGATTTTCGACCAAAAATCCAGCCGGCAATGGAAGACATGGGATGATCTGATCTGATTGGGTGAATCATTTGTTTTTCGGCCTTGCAACAACGTCACCGGCATAGCCCGGCCTTTTTTTGGATTTCATCATCACTAAACCAGGTATAGCATCACTAAACCACTGGAATAGATTTTTAGACATAGACGAGTCACAGTTGGGCGTAACCCGAACCATCACCATCATTCCATCCCCGCCCTATCTCTCCGTTTTGGGTGAAATCCCCAAATTTGGCCCAGATTTCTTTCGCCAAGTTTTTGCAGTAAAGAACTGAACATAAATTGCTTGGTGAAATCCAGACTTCCCATCTGTGTTTCAATGGATTGGTTTTTGGGAAAATTTACACCGGAAAACCCAACGAATTTAATGGTAAAAACCCATGGGTTTCCGGTAAATTTTCCCTTAAACCAATCCATTGATTGTTGGTTCTCCCAGATCAGTGGCGCTTCAGTTCTGGTTGCCGGTTGAACGTGACGGGGACAACGTGTTGGGTTGCAGGGGATACAAACATCACCAATTCGTGAAATCAACAAATCCCAAAACAAACATCATTAAACCATGATTATTAACCAAGTATCCCGTTTATTAACCATAATTAACCATCATTACCATCTGGTATACATACAAAAACTATGGAAATATCCACCATTTTCAATGGGTAAATCCACTATTTCTATGGCCATGTTCAATCGCTTTTTGTATGTTTACCAGAGGGTAATAATGGTATATCATGGATTATCATGCTATATCACTAATTGTGATTATAAAGCCATGATTATTAACCAAGTATCCCGTTCATTAACCATAATTAATCATAATTAACCTGGTATATTCTGGTAGATCCATGGCAAAAATCACCAGTTAAATCAATGGGAATTTCAGGATCCTAAAATGGAGGTACCTACCATATATAAGGCCTATATAAGGGCTATGTAAGGGGATATCCCCAACAAATATGACCTTATATGGTACAGTACCTCCATTTTAGGATCCTGGAATTCCCATTGATTTAACGTCCCAAAACATCATCCCCCGCGGCAGGCCGTGCGCGTGGCCTCGCGCCGCGCCGGCACCGCGCCCGGCCGCGCGCGGCAAAGCGCGGCGCCGCGGTCGCCGCGGTCGCGCCGCAGCTCGGTGGGCGCAGCAAGCCCCGAGAGCCCCGCGGAGGACGAGGCGTTCCCGGGTCTCCGGGGTCTTCCCCGGTGGAGGGGGAGAAGACATGGGAAAAACATGGAAAAAACATGGGGAAAAGGCCGAAGAATCACAGAATTCTTGGTGATTTTTTGAGTTATTTGACCTGTTTGCCATGTCTTTTTGAGTTGAAATGATGGGAATTCGATGGAATTCGAAAGTTTTTTGTGTTTCTAATTAGCTTGGGTTAGTTGTGGAGGGAAAGAATATACCAAAATGAAGACTATCATGGTCGTGCTCAACAATTGTGTGGGGATATGATTGACATGATTCAAAATGGTTGTCTCATTGGTACATCGTACGAACTATTGAGGTATATGATAGGTTAGATTCATGATTTGAGCAGTGAATGCTGGTGTTGGTTAATTGGGAGATAACATGATCTAACGGTGATTTCATGTAACCCTTAGAAGTCTTTGAGAGATTTGAGCTCAAAGAATTTCAGTTGTGGGAATCATGGGTATATCATGGGAACTCACAAAACCAGTGAAATGAGTCGGGCGTTTGGAAACCGATTCGGGCGTTGATAAACCCAAGTTGAAGAGTTTCAAAAGTTTCAAAACCCGGTGTGGATTGATGATTACATTTGAGTACCAGGACTTTCGAAGATATTTGACCATTCCTAACATTTCCAATAGGTTTATGACATTGTTCATGTGGTCTTGACTACGGGGGTACATCAAACAATTCAAACAATTCTCAGTTTCAGGAGGGGAAACTGAATGAACATCATGAGACACTATGGGATTTATATGGCATTTCTTGGCATTTCTTTATTTGTGTCTGGGATTTATGTCTGCAGTTTTTTCACAATCCCATCCTTCAAAAAACGCTGGAATTTCCCATGAGGACAGCATCTGCGATCATCTCTTGGGGAACCATCCCCATTCCCATCCCAGAAAGATCAGCATAGCCGGCCTGGTAATTTCTTACACTTTGCGAACTGGAACATGGCCATTTATTGCCATAGAAATAGTTGATTTATCATGATTTATCTAAAAGTGGGGGATTTCTGCCATAGCAAACTTTTTGGATACCATTTGGTGATTTCTGCCATCTAAAAGTTGATTTAGCTACGGCAGATATGGGAATGGTATCTAAAAGTTGATTTATCTAAGTTAGTTTACCAGAGGGTAAGTTTGTGATACCATTCCCATAGCTACCATAGCTGTCTTCCCATCGAACATCCACATTGTCGTCACTTTTAGAGACAAGTTTGGCCATGGCCAATGTCGACCTCGGATCAATCAAGCGTTACCCCCAATGTTCTGATAGCCCAGGGATCAACTTTCATACAGTCTTTGACTGTATTGACCATCTATCTATTTATCTATATATAGTATATACAATACATATATATAGTATACATATACATATATATTATATTATATATATTATATATACATACACATATGCATGTATGTATCCTCATACTGTATTCTTCTCCCCGTTTCAGCATGATCAACCATGTTATTCCCCCAATTTGATCTGTTTGTCGCAGGCCGACGACAAGACAACGGAAGATGTGCAAGCGATTTTGAGATACCGGGAACGCCCCTTGGTGCTTGAGACTGCGTCTCCGGTGGAGGGAGCTGTGAGCCGAGCGATGCTTATCCATATTCCCAACAATGGGGGTCTCTGAAAATGGGGTAATGTGGCTAAAACAATGCCATTTGCACCATCCCCCAGAAAAATCTCCATTTCTATAGGTGGTTTCAACTCACCATTCCCAGGAAAATGGCTGGTAAAAATGGCAGCCAGTTTTACCCACATTACCATTAACCACCATTAATCACCATTAATCACCAGTATTAATCACCATTAATCACCATCATTAACCCATTATTAACCATTAATCACCATTATTAACCTCTAAATTGTTATTTTAATTGGGAAGATGATCCATGATCGAATGGATTTGAGGCTACACAATTTTCAGAACCCACGTGGGCTGCGCCGCAGCGTTTCAAACTCATGACGAGATTCCCGGCAGGATTTCTATCATCGAAATGGACTATGAAGGATTAATTATTAACAATTATTATCCATTATTAACCATTTTTAGGCAAATCTAGAAATCTATTCCCTATCATGTTCCCATGAGAGATCTTTGAAAGCTCTCATCCTCAAAAAGCAGCTGTTATAAGTCATCGGGATCAAACGCAATATTCTATGGAACATGAAAGCAAAGTAAACCCTTGAGAACTGAACCATCAGCAGCTAGCTATATCAGGCCTCATTCCTTGGTTAAATCGCAGTCGGATTAAATCCCAGACAATCCAATTCCAATTTTGAAATTGCTCAATCCCATTATCTTTGTCCATTCGATGATAGAAATCCCATTCAAACCCCATCAGCTCCCATTAAAATCCCATTAAACGTCCCACGAGATCTCTTTATGAACTCCCGCTCCAAGCAAAACTCATCAATAGAAATCAGATTCAATGGCATTGGAGGGTGAAAACAAAACCATTGGGTTTCGAAAATATTGAAATTCTTATAATCCCCCTAAAAAATCCCCTCATATGACATCCACTTTTTGTCAAACCATTTCCCAAGGCCGTCAGTCGGTGCTCTGCGAGCGGCCGCCTGCGGCTCCGGAGGAACTCTCTGAACTCAGATTTGTTCAACACGTCTGGGTCAAACAATTAAGTGTGTTATAACCTTATAACCTACATATTTATGTTATGAAATATGAGATTATTTAGTCTATAACTATAAGACTAGTATAAACTATGAGGTTATTTAGTATATGATTATATAGTTCTGGGTAAAGTATAACGACCTCACTGCGACTGAACCCTGGAATCATGGTTTATTTTAGGGAAATCATCCCCTTTTATGGCCTTAATTCAGGTTAGTGAAATATTATAATTTACCCAGATAGTTATAGACTAAATAATCTCATAGTTTACAACCTCATAGTTCAACATACTTGGTGGCTCATCCCACTTACCTGTTATAACCGACCTTAGATCACCCCTACGCATCTAAACCAGGGATCTCTCACCTATACACATCTGATGAAACATGAATTTTGACGACCCTTGGGGCCCTTGGCGAATGGCTTAGCACTTCTCCAATGAAAGAATCAATGTCTCCTATGGGACCACCATTTTTTTTTGGACCATCTGATTGAGAAATTTGGATATGTTAATACTACCCTCTGGTAATTTAACGCAACTATGGAAAATCACCATTTATAGTGAAATTTCCCATGAAAAGTGGTGATTTTCCATAGTTATGTTAAATTACCAGAGGGTACACATTACTAAACATTATTAACATGAATCTGATTCTAACCATCATTTCAGATAAAAAAACAAAGTGTAAGCCATTTTGTTTAGTAAGAATATTTCAATATATGAAAAACCACCTCATATTTCAATTGTTTAGCAATGTTGGCCGTCTATTGAAATATTAGTTTAGTATTAACCATCTAATTATTGGGATACCCAGCGTTGACCCCATACCATTTTAACCATTGAATTGGCATTTCCAAAGTTGGATAGATCATGATAGATTCCCTATATCGGATTATATCTAGTTGTATTGTTAGTGTATTTACCATAAAATGGACAATTGACATGTAGACTGTTATTATTCAACTCACTAAAAATGCATCGTGATTTTGACGTAGAGTAGACTCATATTGTCCTATATACATTGTACTTTGATAGATAACCCGATTGTCCCCGTTAAACGTAACTAATATTATCTCGACTAAATCAGCTTATTTGATGGGGATAGCAATGAAACTAATTATATGGGTGTGATTGGTATATGACTGGGTTGTAAGCCATTTGATATGGGGGATAACTACTGGATATCAATGAGAGGTACACAACCATAGCGGTAAATAGGAAGAAAGCTAACGATAACTGATTGGTGGTTTGGAACATGAATTTTATGTCTTTCCATTCAGTTGGGAATGTCATCATCCCAACTGACTCCATCATTTTTCAGAGGGGTAGGTATACCACCCACCAGATTATTATTAATCATCATTAGCCATATATTAACCATATATTAACCATTATTGTTTGATAACCATAAATATGGAACACAACTATAAATTGCCTGACATGATGACCTAATGCGGGGATTGAGGAATCCACCCACAGTTCTTGCGCATGATTTTTTTTCGTCAGGGGAAATCAACCCCAGAAACCAAGCCCCTCCACTGAAAACAAAGAAATCCACCAGCACACGGAATGATTTCACACCCACATTTTTGTTGGTGACATCCAAAACAAACCCAGAACACATGTCTCCCATTTTTGGTTGAAAGGAAAAAACACAGCAAAAACACATACCCTGGAAAAAAAACACACACGGCTGGAAAAAAAAAAATGCATTTATTGATGATTTTTCCCAGCTAGAACAATCCATTGATAGGGGATTTGCAGCCACGATTACCATGATTTCTGGTGACATTTCTGGTGACATTCCTGTGAGCCATTTTTCTGACATTTTCCCAGAAAGCATTTGGATAATTTCCCGTTAAGAAATTCCAGTCAATTCCTCTGGTTGGTGGTTTGGAACATGAATTTCATTTTGCATCATATATGGGATAAATAAAGGGATAATCCTTCCCATCGACTTTCATATTTTTCAAGATGGTTACAACCACTTGGCTTTAATTCGAGAACGATGCAAGTTGGCTGCAAGGTTCAGACCTTTCGACCGCCAGTGAAAGTGAAAAGGTTACAACCACCAACCAGTACAATATAGGGATTAATAATGATGAATATGGGGGATTAATATGATAAATGATGATTAAATATCTATAAATATCTATATCTATAAGTATATATACCCTCTGGTAACCCTCTGGTAAACTAACATAGCTATTGAAAATGGCCATTTATAGTGGATTTTCCCATTAAAAATGGTGATTTCTATGCCACTTTCGATGTCTAGGTCCCGATTTCCTGTAGAGAACTTCGCCAGGAGAGAGACCGGAAGCCCCGGGTGGACTGGAAACCCCGCGTCACGGTGACCTTCCAACGTAAAGAGCCCGTGCTGCAGGGAGCCCAACCTGAAAGGGGCGAAGCTTGGGGAACGTCTGGGGAACTTACCCGGCCTGGTCAACATAGAAAAAGCGAACTGGAAAATGGTGATTTAGAGTGGATTTTAGGATTTTCCCATTAAACATGGTGGATCTTTCCATAGTTTTCTGTATGTTCACCAGAGGGTATGGCAGGATCCAACATGTTTTGCATGTTTTGATGCATGAAAAATGGAGAATTTTTGCAGCAAAAACATGCAAAACATCACCAGATTTCACCAAGAATGAAGATCTGACCACACGTCCGGAGATGAGTTACTTGACTTCATCCGTAGTTCCAGGCCCGACTTTTTTTGGTGTATTTGAAACTTGAAACCAGCTAAATCGGTTGTCGTTTGGTTCTATCCCCAGGGTCCCCAGGGTGGTCCCACATATTTTCCCAGAGAAACCAGGTCGCAAGAGGATGGTCCAGTGGATGAAAAGACCATGGAGGCGACACGGCTTTTCCGGGACCGGAAGTTTTTTTGTCTTTTAAGAACTGACAATTCTATGGTTAATATATGGTTTTTATATATGGTTTTTATATATGGCTAATATATGGTTAAGATTTGGGACCGGAACGTTTTTTGAGAACTGACAATTATATCATGTAATGGGTATCATGAATGGATATATGATGAGAGAAGGGTTAATAATGGGTTTCCTCATCATTTATGGAATAAGTAACCATTTTGAACTGCCCATACCATGGGTTTTAAGATGTTTTCGATGAAAGCGATGGTAAAATTAATGATTAATGATTAAATCTATGGAACCGTTTACCAGCAAAGCTAGTTATTTCAATCAATGGCTTTAGGATGTTTTACCTTCTTATAATTGTTTACAGTTTGCTGTTGTAGCCATGGCCGATTTAGTTTTCTTTGATTTACTGTTTTAAAAAGTGGTTATTTTCCATGTTTTCCATGCTTTATCCGCATTCAAAAACATCTTAAGACCATTTCTGGGAATACCTAACCATTATTCATCCAGTATTCATCCATTACTCTTGGTGATTCGAGAGCATTTCGAGTTTAGCCATGTTGGGTTACGGGATGATAAAACATCTTGAAACATATTTAGATATTAAACCATTAATTGGTGGTTACATAATTATACATATATATATGTTTACATGTGTATATATATACACCAGGAACATATCCAGTAAGTGGTGGTGGTGGTGGTTGTTGTTGTTGTTGTTGCTGCTTCCATTAGTTAAACCGTAGATTAACCACTACTTACCATAGATTTCATCAAAAACAATCGTTATTTTCCATATAATAAGCGATTAGATCATGGCTTATACTATCATAAAACCATACTTAAAACCTATGTTCATCTATAATAGGGGGATTATAAGAATTTTCATATCAGAAACCCATGTTTTTTTTTCCCTATTTCTCCAATGCCCTTGACCGCAGAATGACCTGGGTACGAGAGCCCGGCGCTTGGTCTACCGGCAGAAGCAGAAGTCGGCGATGGAGCGGGGTGTTGCGACGGCTTGGGGAGGCTTGGAGGTAAAATCTATAGGAAACCCATAGGTCTTATTATGAAATCCATAGGTTTTACATGGTTTTACCATGAAATCCATAGGTTTTACCATGAAATCCATAGGTTTTACCATGAAATCCATAGGTTCTGACCTGAAATGATGCTTGGGATGGACGAAAGCACTGAAAATGATGGGAAAAACAGGAAAATCACGGGAAACACCCAGACTTTGATGACAATATATGTATAATATTTGTCGCTTAGATCCCTAGAGTCCTAACCCCAAGCAGCACTTGCGACGTGACCCACTTGCGACGTGACCGTCTCGCGACGTGACCCGTTTTTCCAGGACCGTTCCGCGATCCGTGCAGATCGGCGGGCGCACAAGGACGCCGTTTCGCGCGCGCGCGGGGGCCGTGGCAGCGGTGGTGCCTAGGAAGATCCCCACAATACACGGCCTCTAAAAAGGTGTAGCGAAATGGGACTCCTGAAATGGGACCAACTTGAATTCCCAAGTTTTTTGGGGGAATTCCGGAATTCCCAATGTTGATAAAGCTCCTGAAATTAGAATACAGTGTTGGTAAAACCTATTACTGTGGGAACATTATTAGCCACTGAGGGTTAATCAAGACTGGGAAAACTGGCTGCCATTTGTACCAGCCATTTTTTTTCTGGGAATGGTAAGTTTATTATTATACCACCTATAAAAATGGAGGTTTTTTCTGGGGGATGGTGCGTTTATGGCATTGTTTTACCAACACAAAAAAAGGTTTACCCTCCGGTAATCGATCACGGCTGGAAAGTCCTGACAGCTGATGTTGTGATTTTCCCTTTAAAAGCTCCATTTATGATGGGATTTTTCAGCTACGTCACCGGAGGGTATACCAAGCAGCATCGGGACAGAACTGGGATGAAAAACCATCAGCTAGGCTATGGATGAATAATTAATTCATGGATCGTTGGAATGCCCTCTTGTAATCTAACACAAAAAGCGAACTGGAAGCCATGGCCCATATGAAAACTGCAAACAATTTCCATAGCAGACAGCAAACTAAATTTCCCATACGCTCCGGGTGTTTCTTCAAATGACTTTTTCCTCCGGTCATCAAACATGGTTTTTCATGGCTCCCATGGCGGGTCCCATGAAAAATGGGGCTGTACCAGCCATGAAATTGGGGATTTCACCATCAATAGATATACCCTCTGGTTATGTCAACAGTTAGCTATTGAAAATGACTATAGAAATAGTGGATTTACCCAGCTAGAAAATGGTGATTCTCCATAGTTTTTTATATGTTTACCAGAGGGTAACATGGTTAGACCTATGAAATTGTGGTTTTTGATCCGTGCCAATTTTTGGGCATGGATCAAAATCTACTATAGTTACTATACCATACTTGGGCTTTTGATGGGTAATTGGAATGTAATGTGGAGATATGGGTTAATATTAGTGAATATTGGTTAAAGTGGATCAATGGCTAATATCAACGCGGATTTAACTCCTAACCACAAAAAGGGGGGCGGGTAGAATGGGGAAATGAAGGGGGATATCGCGAAATATAACCTACAATATTGTGTTCGGGAGGATTTAACCATCGGCAATGGTGGTTTAATGGGAGCCTAATGGGGTTTGATGGTTGTCCACCAAGTTTGACCCGATTGGGGGGTTCCCTACAAGGACCAATTTGGTGGATCCTGTTCAAGTCCAACATTTAAGACACAGCCATATGTCAAAACCAATGTGGCGAATCGCCATTTTCTCGAAATTTCACTCTTCCATTTGACGATGAAATATGGGAAGATCGGCTGCAACAAAAGGGCCTCTCTGGCAGCTAAACCAACCAAGATGAGAGTTTTCATTGGTACCCTCTGGAAATCAAGACGGATCATAAGTGGTTTTCCGAAGCCTGGTGCTCGCACTACTGACTAAGTAAACCCCCCATCGTTCCAACTAGTTACGGACTCTGGTTACTGTGGGTGAACTATGGTAACCATGATACTATGCTTACGAACTAGTTATCAAGTAAGTAACCCACTGCTATCCATAGTAGTCATTGGGATCAAAAGCTTATCCCATCTGTCCCATATAGTTATTATGGTCATCGATCACCACTATCCCACTATCCAAAAAACGATCATAGAACCACAAAAAGAAAATACCGGCAATCTCTTTTGCGCGGTTCACATCACTCATCTATTTTCATCATCAAACATTAAGCTAGTTCAGCCATTTATATATGTATATCTATATATATATATACATATGTGATACCCTCTGGTAATTTAACATAACTATGGAACATCACCATTTTGAATAGGTAAATCCACTATAAATGGCCATTTTCAATAGCTACGTTAAACATAACCAGAGGGTAGCCCATTTGAACCCATCAATCAATGGATTGGTTTAAGGGAACATCTACAGGAAACCAGAGTTATTTTCCCATGAAGATCATGGGGTTTTCCTGTAAAATTTCCTTTAAACCAATCCATTGAATCAATCATAACCTAAGTGATAACCTAACCCATTAAGCTAGTTCACCCATTAAGCTAGTTCACCCATTATACATATGTGATAACCATTGATAACCCATTTGAACCCATCAATCATTTAAACATAGCTGATGACTTTCCGAAACAGGAGGCAGCCAGTTCGCTGAGGGAATTGGCGCGTTTGCAGCTCCTCAAGGAAGGCGGGCTCGAGCCGCTGGAAGTCGCCATGCGAAAAGCTGGGGAAAACCATGGGAAAAGCCATGGGAAAAGCCATGGGAAAACCATGGGAAAACCATGGGAAAACCATGAAAACCATGGGAAAACCATGGGAAAACCATGGGAAAAGCTGGGGAAACCATGGGATTTTGATGACTTGAATGGAATCTGTGAAAGCCTCTTGGGAAGATGAACATCGGAAAATTGACATCACGAAAATACAAAGGAAATCATTTGAAATATGAGATTTCCATGTGGGGAGAATCATCTATAAACTAGAGATTTAAGCGGCCAAGAATATCCAAGAATTGGGGGTTAATCATTGCAAAATGATGACATAATTAATCGTACATAGTCGCAAATTTAATCAAACTTATATATCCCCAAAAAGCTGTGTGAATTAAGGAACCATCACTTTGAAAGCCAAAGATATCGGGGTGGGTGATTTATCCGAACAATGTGGATGTGTGAAGGGCCCCAATGCAATGAAATCGTTTTGATGAGTTCGGTTGGTAAGTCCAGACCATGCAAGCGGCTCAGATGAGATGACCTTCCTGCAACCTCTTCAACCCAGTTTCACCTCATTACATCTGCCATCAAGGCTGGACTTGATACACCATTTTGTCTTGTATTTCTTGTAAACTTCTTCCAACCATACTTGGTAAAAACAACCACACGCCCACCCACCCACTCACGCAGACACACACCACACACTTCATGTGGAGAAAACAAAAGGCATAATGGCATAAGCATAAACGATTATCTACAATTATCACTTTATCTATATATACATATATATATAGATATTGGAGGTTTCCATTTTTTGATGGGATTTTCCATCATAAATCCACCGTTTTTGGGGAATTTGGGGTACCCCCCATTAATAAATCTTACATTTTTCAACGAAAACTTCAACGCCAGGCGATCGCATTGTGGAGCTGATCCGCGCCAAAGACGAGGCCATGATTCAGGAGGACTTCCACCGTTACGATGAGGCGCCCAGGGGGGCCGGGAAATCCAGGATTTACCCGGCCCGGTAAAACAAAAAGCACCATTGAAGCCATGGCCCCAGTCGAAATAGTGGATTTACCCAGCTAGAAAATGGTGATTCTCCATAGTTTTTTGTATGTTTACCAGAGGGTAACATAGAAATAGTGGATTTAAATGATTTACCCAGCTAGAAAATGTTGGATCTTTCCAGTTCGTTTTTTTGTAGGTTTACCAGAGGGTACTATGTATGTTAATGGCGAAATCCATGGAAAACCATGGAAAAAACCATGACACGCCATGGAAAAAAACACTTGAAAACAGATTGAAATTGAACATGATGGAGATTTGAACATCACCCAGATGGGCATTTATATCTGGGAACTCCCCTGTAAATTGACATAAAAACATGGGACAATGATTATGAATCACCTATACAATGGGCATGTCAATGGCCTAATCCATTAAATCTGGGTAAATTATAACGACCTCACTGCGACCTCACTGGGACCAATGGTTAATAAGGGGAATCATCCCCAAATGGCCTTAATTCAGGTTAGTGAAATATTATAATTTACCCAGATTAAATCAAATCCTTCTGAAACATGGTACTCAGAAGTCACCATCAAGCACCATAAGTTACCACACCACATCACCTACCAATAGGTAGGGCATTTGAATGGGAAATTCATCGGTGGGTAGATGTCCAACATGTTGCCATGTGGCTATGGATCAATACCTATTTTCATACCATTTTTAGGGGGATGAACATCCATAAATCCCAGCTATTTTGATGTTCACTAGGTACCAGGGTTTTGACCCATCCCCATGTTTTTTTTTTTTATCATTGCAACTCTTTAAGTAATCTATTGCAATGTCTGCCACATGAATGTCGTAGACCGTGAGGTAAACCATCCCTACAAATCATCCGACCAAATCATCTAGGGGTCACTTCACCACCAAGGGGCAGATGGCCATTTTTGTGTCTATCATTGGGTGATATCCTCACAATATGTTGTTGGTTTTTTCTACCCATTGTTGGTTGGTTATATTGTATATATTGTATTCGCACTGGTGTATCCCCCAATTTCCATAAAATTGTTCCCTAATGTTTTTCATAAATCGTAAATTCCAAAAAGGTCGATATAAAGTGAAATCCTGCGAAACTGAGAAAAATCACGACATAAATCATAAATCACAGATAGATTTACTGTCGATTTACGAAGAAAACACCGTTTCTGTTTGAAACCTACGATAACCTCCTTCATGAACTACGAAGATCTCTCTGGAGGTGAGGCCATGATATCGTTCCTGTGCAGGGTTTCTCTGTAGAGTTTTGTTCTGGAAATCCATCAGAATAGCCATGATATTCCAATGGAAAACAGTCTTTCTGCCAGAATTTACTTCCCGGTGCTTTTTTGGTGCTTGTCATAGGGAATCTGGGAAGGATGAAATCCAGAATTTTTTGGCAGTGATAACATTCCCTCATTCCCTACTAATCATTGTATATGTTAGTTATTATGGAACTAGGAATCAGAACATATCATAACTTAACATAACATGGTTATTGATTATTAATGATCATAAGTAGTGACTCTAGTCAGGCTGTCCATGATCATGACTGTCGTGACTGGACCAGAAAAGTGGTTCCTAAGAACTATGGAGAACTATACTCAACTAGGCTATTAGTAATAGTTATTATATTGAATAGTCTCATTAATAGTAACATTCAATATAGTCTATTAATGATGTCTCATCAAGTCTCATTCATAGTCTTCAATGTACCATTCACATTAACTTGCTTATTATGACTGGTTGGTGGTTTGGAAATTTTTTATTTTCCATAATATATGGGAATAATCATCCCAACTGACTACTATTTTTCAGAGGGGTAGGTCAACCACCAACCAGATAGGATTCTCAATGGGTTAATCTATATTGGGATGATAATCTATATAAACTATATTAAACTATCAATGGGTTTTCAGAGGGGCTGTACCATTCAATGTTCCAAACCACCAACCAGATAAATATTAATCATCATTAACCATATATTAACCACATATTAACCACATATTAACCATTATTGTTTGATAAGATCTATGGTTCCATCGTCTCATTCACCTTCGTCGAAGGACGGCAACGGCCAGCTTCAGCTCACCGAGATCCGAGGAGTTTTGGAAGATGCCGGGCTCTTGCCCAAGAACGACGAGGAGCCAAGGGAGTGGCCCGAGCCCAGGGTTGGTAAATGTCCCATTTTGGGAAGATTGGACATCACCTTATAGTAGCCATTATAGACCATATACCTAATGGTTGGGTGATTAACATAGCAATGGAAAATGGCTATTTATAGTGGATTTTCCCATTAAAAATGGTGATTTTCCATTGCTATGTTAGTTCACCAGAGGGTAGAAACGGATGGGTTTTGACATGGCAAAAATAGAAAATCGCCCCCATTTTTTTTTACATGAAGAAAAAAAGATGATGATTTTCCTATGTATATAAACTGGACAACTGGACTAAAAACCCTCGGTGTTTTTCTATTTTACCTTTTCTATGACTTGTTTTTTACCATGGCCATTTCTGAGATAAACTGATGGCCATCTGATGGGATCTGTTCATATGGGATTTGCTGGGATGATGGGGTAAGGAACTGGTGGAGTTGTTGGAAGTTGATGATCACAATTTACCTGGTTTACCTGTTGATGATCTATTTGATATTAAGATATATTAAGAAATAACGGCATAAGTAAGTTGATGATCTTTTTTTAAGGTTTCTTGAAAAAATCTATATGTTTACCAGTTGATATCTATAGTTGATTCTTGATGATCTATGGGCCATCGAAAAACCATGGCGAACTGTTAGTCATAACCAGGTTGGGTATTTCAATTTCACTGGATATCTCCGGGATATCTCCATATGATATCCCAGGAATCCCATTGGATATTTCTATTTCTTGCTCCCATCCATATGTTTAGAAGGACCCCAATCCGTGGCCGTGGCCGAGGAGAAGGCCAGCGTGCGGCGAACCATCGTGAACATGGCCTTGAAGGTGGACGGTTGGAAATCCGTTGGGAATAGCATGGTAACCCTCTGGTTACCCTCTGGTAAACTAACAGTTTGCTATCGAAAATGGCCCATTTATAGATTTACCAAAAAAAATAGTGGATCTTTCCATCGTTTTCTGTAGGTTTCTGTAGAGGGTATTTAACGTAGCGAACTGGGAAATCACCATGTTTAAGAGGTAAATCATCATGTTTATCATCTATTTCTATGGGCCATGGCTTCCATGGCTACGTTAAATAACCAGAGGGTAGGTATTATGGCAAATAAGATTAAGGCATTGGGACATCCACTATGGGACATCCATGGAATATCTGGAATGGGATGGCATTTTTTTCTTTTTTGGAATAGCAATTGTCTGAAGAATTTCTTCTATAATTTCCAGATGTTTATTTTATTAGACCATGTATGGAAATATATTTCCCCATGAACAATATCTATAATTTCCATGCTATCATATTCATGGGAAACATACGGATGCCATAGTCACTATCGCCAATAGCTGATGAACGGGATGGTCATGATGATTGGGTACCCTGGAACTCGGGGTTTATCATAGACGATTATGGGATATCCCGTGTAAATTTTAGCAGTTTATATAACTGACCATGTATATATATATATAATTGTGTATGTATGGGTATCATAATTGATGGATATATGTACATATATATATACATAATGGGATATTGATGGGAAAGATATAAGCAGCAATCAAACGTGGCTCTTGCTGGGAAATCCTCTATCTTGCTGGGATTTCGAGCTGGGAAATTCATCGAACTAAATGGCAGATTGTGCGGATTGGGTTTACCCTTAGAACTCGGACTAGTAGGTAAGTTATATCCCTTTAGGGTTATATATATATATATTTTTATTTAAATACTACTTATTGGTAAATACCTACTTATAAATAACCCTACTTATTTACCAATAACTACTAGTAGGACTTATTGGTAAATAACTAGGGTTATATAGTCCGCTTTAAGCTACCGTTATGAGCTACTTAATAAGAGGGATGAACCACCAAGTAGGATACTTCATGTTTTTCACCAGTTTGTACCCTCTGGTAAACATGCAAAAAGCGAGCTATTGAACATGGCCCAGTCGAAATAGTTGATGAATTCCCATTAATAGCATGGTGGATCTTTCCATATAAATCACCATTTCCCAATGGTTTTCCCATGGTTTTCCCATTCAAAATGGTGGATTTTGTGGATCTTTCCATCGTTTTTTCATGAAAATCCCAGGCCGGGTACTTTTTTTGTGGTACCCTTCAGGTCATCGTTTACCACAAATTCTGACTCATGGGACTCAGAGCTACGCAGAGTCAGGTTTTGTTTTGAGTACCCGATCGCAAAAGTCCTCTTTATCACTCCCAAAATCCAGATTTTTTAATGTACTCTAAACTGGTTCATCATCTAAATCCATTGGTTAGTCATCCTAAATTGGATGTCATAAACCCCCATGAATTGGTTAACAAAACCAGCAGAAATCGCAGGTGGAGGATGGCGAGACGGACGAGGAGAAGGAACTGGCCGAGGCCAAAGGCAATGAGCTTTTGGCACCTCGCTGTCGAAGATCCATCTGTGGCCATTTCCAGTGGATCATTTATGATATAAGGATATATATATATATATATATGATGATGATTATAGTATATAATGCCACTATAGTATATAATGCCACTATTTATGATTATAATATATAATGCCAACCCTGGATTAATAACCCATAGGCTGTTTAATTGAGGGGATACCATTTAAGTACCCCCCCTATCATTTATGATATAAGGATACAATATTTCCAGTAAATTTCATTTCACACCCTTGTTTTGTTGAAATCCATCTGATAAGATTCCTGATAAAACTCCTTCTGTTCTTGCTTCAATCACATGTTTCCAATTACGGTTCACATATGATTGCATCACTCAAAAATTCCATTTTGAATCATCATTTTCCAGGATCAAACGTCAGAAACCGATCGTTTTCACAGTTCGCTATTGAACATGGCCATAAAAAGTTCGTTGATTTACCTATTAAAAATGATGATTTTCCAGTTCGCTATTTTAGTCTACCACAGGCTATCAAACATCCGAAAATCATCATTTTCTGGATGACACGTCAGAAAACCCATGATAAAATCTGGGTTTGTCTGAACATATGGTACTTCTAAATCAATTGGTTAATCATCATGTTCCCGCCTTTTTAATGGATTTAGAAGTTTCATGGGATATCTAAAATAGGTTAATCAGTTGATCATCATTGTTCACCATGGTACCATCATTGGTAAATTGGTCAATCATCTCAATCCATTGGTTAGTCATCTAATCCATTGGTTAGTCATCATCCCTATTAACATGGATTTAAACCATGATGAACCAATTTACCAATGATTACCTTCTGGTAAACTTTCACATAACGGAAAATCACCTTCTTTAATGGGTAAATCAACTATTTCTAAATGGCAATTTTCAATAGCTTTCTGTATGTTTACCAGAGGGTATATCCTATTGATATCCCATTGAATCACAATCATTAGTCCCATTAAATCATTATAAATCCCATTGAACATCATTAAATCCCATCAAATCCCAGTTATGTTAGTTTACCAGGCCGGGTAACCAATGGATTTTCCAATGGTGTTTTTACATGTTTTTCCAATGGTGATCAGCTCCCAGGTGCAGCAAGGCCAGGAGCAGTTAGCTCGCTCCGTAGAGCTGCAGCAGGAACAGATGCCGGAGCTCTTGCAACGCATCAGGAGGGGTGAGATTCACGATGGAGATGTACTAATAATAATAGAGGGATATTTACAGTATATATATATAGTAATATATGTACTATAGACTATAGATGTAGATATTTCATACTATACTATAGATGTAATATAATATATGTAGATATATGTGGATATAATGGATATAGTTGATATTGAATGAGGGAGATTTAATGAAATCATAGAATGATAATAATAGACTATCAATTCTAGATATTATGTAATAATGTATTTACTATAGATCTAGATATTATACTATACTATATATAACACTATAGATGTACAGGAGGTGTACTATACATGTAGATATGAGGGAGATTTCACAATAATTGATAATGATAGATACAGTACCAAGCTTGATTTAGTGTATCTATCAATATATTCATACAATACACTAAATATTGCGTGTACCAGGATAATAGTGTACTAAATATCGCAATATATTCATATTTTGAGTGTACCAGGATAATGGGTTCCTCCAATTTATCCTATCCCTATGATCTCATAAAATCCCAGGGAGTCTGGCAGTTATAGGTACTTACTAAGTATGGTATTATGATATTACTACCATAAATACTATATAGGTACTTATATGGTACTAAATACTAATTTGGTACTTACTAATCCATATATAACTACCATATTGATCTTAATATCCAAAATAACCATAATAATAACGCACGGATGTATGAATAGCCAATAAGATGTGGATATCATAATCACCAATAAGAGCACGACGGGGAAATAGATATGAGGGGAGACATAAGAACAATGGTAACTATGATTGGATGCATATGATCCGAGAACAATAGTAGTAATAATAATAGATAAGAGCCAATCATTGGGAACATAATCGTAATTATGGAAGATGAATGGACGGAGATTGGATGGTGAAAAAATCATTTCATACCATTCCAAAGTAGGTCGGTGAATAATCCCAATAGAATAATTGGATATATCACCAATGATTAGTGATATTTCACTAACCTACTAAACTCACCAATGGTTAGTGGTATTTCACCCAGCTTTATATCGAATCCTATTAGAATCCTATATTGCTGACCAAAAATATGTGAAGTCATCATGGTATTTCCAATGAAGCAACATCAAAACGGGAGATTTTCTGGAGATGGGATTGGATGGGGATGATATTTCTCATCATATCCCTGAGGATCCAATGGAATACCATGACGAATGGGATATACCCGGCCTGGTAATTTCTTACACTTTGCGAACTGGAAGCCATGGCCATAGAAATATAGTTTTTTATTGCTAAATCGTTGATTTAGCCAGCTATAAAATGGTAAATTTCTTTCCATACTTATGTAATTTGACATAGCTATGGAAAATGGCCATTTAGTTCGTTGATTTACCCAGCTAGAAAATGGTGGATATTTCCAGTTCGTTATTTGTATGTTTACTAATGGGTTTTTTGATGGGTGGGATTCGATTGGATTTCCCCAGTAATCTATGGAACTTGGAAAATCCATCAGCGAACCGGGATAAACCTCATTGCCATGTTTGATGACACCGGAGGATACATTTAGATTGAAATGTACCGGTAAACATACAAAAAGCGACATAGAACATGGCCATAGAAATACTGAGTTTTCCCATGAAACATGGTGGTTTTCCATAGTTATGTTAGTTTACCAGAGGGTACTTAGATTTAGATGTAGATTAGACGGATACCTATTATATCTATTTTCACATTAGAAACAGTATTTTTGGATACATACATACTACATATATCATATTCCATCATATTCCTATATTCCCATCATATTTGTCCATCGATATACCTTCCTGTAAACTAACATAGATGTGGAAAACCCATCATTTGTAGACAATGTTTTTAAAGAGCAACGGAAAATGTTGGCAAAAAAACATACCTCAATGGATTGGAATAGGGAAAGTCTTTAAAACCATGGTTTCCTGTAGATTTTCCCTTAAACCAATCCATTGAATAGTTGACGCCATGGGGATGCAGGAAGCGTCTGCGAGTGGCCCAGCGGAAGGTCTACTTCGCCTGCTTCACCAAGTGGCCCTGCACAGGGCAGAGGGTAGGTTACCCTCTGGTAATTTAACATAGCTATTGAAAATACCCCATTTATAGTGGATTTACCTATTCAAAATGGTGATGTTCCATAGTTATGTTAGTTTACCATAGAAAATCATGATCAACCATAGAAAATCCATAGAACATCATGATCAACCATGGATGTGGGCTGATGTGGGGGTTCCAGTTTTTTTGAGCCCCCCAAACAACCAAGAAGAGTACGATTTGAAGCCGCCCAATTCTTCACAAAGAAGTGTCTGGTTGGTGGTTTGGAACATGTTTTTTTTTGATTTTCCATGTATTGGGAATAATAACCCAAGCTGACCAAAAGGATGGGGAAGAAACTCTATAAACTGGTTGGTGGTTTCAAACATTTTTTATTTTCCATAATATATGGGATGTCATCCTTCCCATTGACGAACTCCATCATTTTTCAAGCAAGATGGTTTTTTAACCACCAACCAGTGATGTGTACTATGTGTAATATCTATGTATTGTATTGGGAATAAGAACCCCAACTGACTTTCATATGTTTGCAGAGGGGTAGGTATACCACCAACCAGGTGTTTGTTTTGTTGCCTAAACCACCAGTTATTGTCGATGTTTCCTCTTCCGTTTCGCCACCGACAAAGTGCCAGCATTTTGCAATGGGCTTCCCAGCTTCAAAAGGCAACCGCCGACCAGGTGAGTAAAATGTGTCTCATATTACTTGATGGCCAAGGCTAATTCTTCAAAATGTTCATGGATTTTCACCAAACAATAGTTAAATTCTTCCCATTGTTTCCAGAACCTACCATAAAACGAACGCCAGATTTCGACATTTATCGACCCAATTTCCATCCCAATATCCATACAATGCGGTGCCCCCCCAGTTATAAGTTGGTTTATAAACCCCATTAACTATAGTATACTATAGTTATAAGTACCATAAACCATAGTTAGTGGAGTTATAAACCAACTTAGCTATCTAAGGGGTTCCACCTTGTAGGAAACCATTGATTTCCGGCGGGTCTGCAGGTTCGACATGTTGGATGAAGGTGAGTTGGCGATTACGGAAGTCTTGCAGGTCTTGCAGGATCTGCGATTACCACCGGCCGTGAAACCCGCTGGGCGGATTGGGGTTTTAAGGAAAAGCTCCATGGAAAATTGAGGAAAGTTTCATGGGACATATGGACAAATCTTATTGTCTATGGAAATATCATGGTAAATAAAGGGAAATACCGAAGAATCTCTCCGTTTCGCAAAGAAAAACGGATCGACATCTATTTTCCATGCAGACACATGCAGATATGGTATATTCAAGATGGACAAGAAATGGAACTTTACTTTCTGAGAAATCGAGGAGCTTGTAAAACTGCATTGAATTGAGTGAGGTTAGAACCTTTTGAGATTTTACATGCAAGAATGGGAAAACATTGGGATTTTCCCAGCTAAAAACAGGACAGTTTATGGGATTCTCCATGCCATGGCCAGGTGTGAACAATATGGAGACCATTTACAGACACACCAACTATCCAATGGGATATCTCATTTACTAATGGGATATAATCCATCATTTACTAATGAGATATAATGGGATATAAATGATGGATTTATATCATGAGATATATCTCATTGTATCCTCGACGCGATCTCCCACGTCGCCTTTGGATGGTGTCTGGTCTGACATTAGGCTTCTACCTTCCGGTGCCATCAAACATTGCTGGAAAATCCTGCATTTATAGATGTTTTTTGCCAGCTAGATACCTCCATTTTTTGGGGGATGTCCCAGCCACGTTTCATTGCCAGGGGTATATAAAAACCTTACCATGTAATCTACAAATATCCATGTAATATCATATTGGGGTATTCATGGTGATATATGGGGTATTACATGATTTACAGCTCTTTTTGTGCGCGACAGGAGTTGAAGCTTCTACCGGATTTGGATGAGGCCACCACAATCCGGCTGACAATGCGACCTCCTGGCAATCCGACCGATGGAATAGCGATGGCTTACCCTCTGGTAAACATACAAAAAGCTATTGAAAATGGCCATAGAAATAGTGGATTTACCCATTAAACATGGTAATTTCCCATACTCATGTTAGTTTACCAGAGGGTATCAAAAATGGGCTCCCATTTGGCACGGTATGGCGTTCATCCAACCAGTAAGTTGACAGGATCAAACCATACATTGCTGCTATGGCGTCATAGTTTTAATCCAAAAAATGGTTTTGGGGAAGATTTGCAGCCCCATCTCTTATCCTATCTCTCAGAATGCTATGACCCACACCTGAATACTTCGGCCATTTAGGGATACTTATTTCCAATTCCCATCATTCCAGTGACGCCTTTTATTAGTGAGGTCGTGATCAAATTGATCCAGAGATTTGGAGTAAAACCATGGCTTTCTGTATTCAATGGATTGGTTTAAGGGAAATTCTTAACCGGAAACCCATGGGTTTTTACCATCAAATTGATCCAGAGATTTGGAGTAAACCCATCACGCGACAGGCTCGGAGTGACTTTGCTCGTTGGGTTCTGAGTACCGTGAAGGGCCGCGAGAGCAAAGTTCAGTCGGTGGTTTCTTGGCGGAGAGGCGAGGAGCTCCTCACTGGCTTTGGATACGTTATATTATATATATTATATATATTATACTATATATGCTATATATAGTATGTATAGTATATATAGTATATATAGTATATATACTATATATAGTAGAATATATATATATATTACATATAACATATAACATACAGCATATATAGCAGGACAAGATACGTATTTGACCAGCAAGAGCGAGATTCAGAGGAGAGATCTCGGAGAACCACCAAGGAAAGAAGTGACTTTTTGTAGTGAAATTTTGTCAGGAAAACCTTTAAAAAGATATTCCGGCAAGAGACCCCAAACAGTGTGGGGGAGTGGGAGGATAATCTATGATAATGTTGATGATGATGATGATGATGAGAACATCCAAATTTCCCCATGCCGATCAGCTCTCAAGGCTTCGGAAGACTTGGACAAGAAGAAACGGCAAGCGGTGCCTCGTTGCCTCGTCCCTCCAGTGTTTCTGATCGCCGAATCGCCGATACAGTATAGATATGGAATGATATGGACGAGATGGACATTAGGATGTGGTGTTTAAAGATGTATATGTACATATATACATATAAACATATATACACGTCTAACTGAGTCAAAAACTTATTTTGGATTCGGCAATCAAGGCCAACCATCCAAGTCCCGCAAGAGGTCTTCATATGTGTATATGTATATGTATATAGATACTTTAGATACTATACACTTTCTACATCTACAACATCTACATACTATACTGTATGCATCAAATTTTACCATGTATACATTCATATACATATTCCACACACATATGCCACACACACATACTATATACATATGTACATTCTATGTCAGTCGCATCTATCTCATTATTGACTATACATATTATAGACATATTGGATATACATATGTCAAATACATACATATACATATACATATATATATATATACATACATATGATAGATATATCTATTATAGAATTTCTACGGTATATTATCAGTGTTATTGTTTTAAATTATATTTTAACACAAAGAATGTATATATATACATACCGCCCATAGGATCTATGTATGGTATATATGCTAACATTTGGGGTATATTCATGGGATCCATGTTACCATATATAGCAGCACCATGGATCCGTCATGGGATAGGCAACAATTTTATGGAAATTGTGGGATACACCAGTGGGAATACAATATATATATATACAATATGAAATTACCTATGAAATCTCCACATGTATCCTATGTCATACCATCCCTACATCTTTTTTTTCGAGGCCAAGGCCAAAGCCAAGCTTCGCACCAGCAAGACCGGCACGGAGCGCCCGGGCTCCCGTTCCGAACGTTCCGAGCGCCCGGGCTCCCGAGAACGGCCCAGTTCACGCGAGCACGAGGCGCATGGCATGGCCGTGGTCAAAAATGGGTAAAAATGGTGATTTATTGGTGGAAAGATGTGGATCAAAAGTCTGGACGAAGGGTTTTCTACCTTCTCAATGGTATGTGCCTGTCTCAACCCTCCTCCCTGTATCAAAGGTGCTTTCTTTTTCCCCTCCTCAAAGGTCCTGGTTTCCCAACCGTATTCCCGGAAAATTTTCCCATGTTCGAAGGATTTCTCAAGGCCAAGTGTTTTCCCACAGTGAAGGTTCGCGCTCAAGGCTGCCAAAAAAATAAAAAATAAAATAAAATCCCGGAGACAAACCCATACCCCGGGGAAGAACACTTGCGACCGAACATTGCAAATATGCATAAAACATGCTATGTGTTTTTCTCAATGGTATGTGCCCGTCTTAATTTTTTTAAAATTTTTATTTTTATTTTTTCTCCCCGGAGGTCCCGGAGAGGAACCCTTGGAATTTCTTCCCCCGGAGGTCCCGTAGAGGAACCCTTGAAACCCTTTTGCTCGTTTTTTTCTCTTTGTCGTCTTTCGTCGTCCGTCGTGTTTCAATGGGGATCCTTGAGACAGACACTTGACCTGAGCAAGACCACAAACGAGAAAGTACCTTGGCGCAGACCTTCGAGTGGAAAGATGTGGAAAGATGTGGAAAGATGTGGAAAGATGTGGAAAGATGTGGAAAGATGTGGAAAGATGTGGAAAGTGAAATTCATTGGAAGTGAAACGTTTTTTCAAAAGTTGGGAGATGTTGGAAAAGCCAGCTGGAAAATGGTGCAATCCGGTTGCACAGAAAAATTGTATCATCCTCATTTCTCATGGTTAAGCCGCCACGCAACAGGTGGTTCGAATCTCAAACCATGCAACATCCATTTTGTTGTTTCAAAGCGTTTGTGGGTAAAACATGTTGCTTGGTAAAAAATCACATTTTGGTTGGTCAAAACCCTTATTTTGCCTGGTAAAAACCACGATTCGACGAGTAAAAACTATGTCGTGTTTGGTAAAAACCCATGGAAACATGGCATTTTTTCGTTCCAAGGGTGAACCCGGTGAAACCCTGTGCAGGAACCTGAGACTTTGGAAAGCTCCAGCGACTCGTCCGATTTTGGTCGGAAACGTCCTGACCTCATTGGGTTCCATGGATTTGGTCAGGGAGTCATCCCCAAATGGCCCAACAGATCAGGGGAAATATTACAATTTACCCTCTGGTTATGTCAAAATAGCTATTGAAAATGGCCATTTATAGTGGATTTTCCCTTTAAAAATGGGGGATTTTCCATTGCTATGTTAGTTTACCAGAGGGTACCCATGATATACTGGCTGATAAATGATTAATGGTTCATAATGGGTTAATGATGGGTGATTAATGGCCATTGATATTGGTTGGTTGGTGGTTTATAATAGGCTAAAAATGGTGATTAATGGTGATTGATAATGACTATGGTTAGTAACCATTAATGGTTCATAATGGGTTAATGATGGGTGATTAATGGCCATTGATATTGGTTGGTTGGTGGTTTATAATAGGCTAAAAATGGTGATTAATGGTGATTGATAATGACTATGGTTAGTAACCATTAATGGTTCATAATGGGTTAATGATGGGTGATTAATGGCCATTGATATTGGTTGGTTGGTGGTTTATAATAGGCTAAAAATGGTGATTAATGGTGATTGATAATGACTATGGTTAGTAACCATTGATGGTTCATAATGGGTTAATGATGGGTGATTAATGGTGATTGAAAATGGTGATTAATAATGGTGATTAATGGTTAATAATGGCAATGTGGTCAAAACAATGTCATAAGCTACCCATCACTGTGAATGGTAAGTTTATACCACCAACCAAAAATCGTGATTTTTCTGGGGGATGGTGCAAATGACATTGTTTTAACCCCATTATATATTTTGAAGAGATAGATATTGGATGATATTGGGATTTTAGCATCGCACACATCTTTTTTTTTTACCTAAATGGGAAGTTCACCTCCATTCAATAGGCTTAAAACTAAAAAACACGATCTACAGTGACTATGTCATCTTGGGTTCGGGTTCTTCGTGGTGCTTGTACTTGCGATGAATATTGAATTCATAATTATGTTGTTTTCAGTGAATATGCCATACTTTTTGTATTGTTGATGAGATGACGTTCTGTTGATTATATATTGTGATAATAAGTACCATCTGGTTATGACTAACATAGCCATGGAAAATCACCATTTTTAATAGGTAAAGCATCTATTTCCATGGGCCATCTATACCATGGCTATGTTAAATAACCAGAGGGTACATCTCCAACTGTTGGTAAAACATGTCCTGTTTTCTTGCTTTCAGGATCTTTCAAGGCGCGCCGGGATGGAATGGGTGGGGTAGGCCCTCATGGCAGACCCTCTTATTGTGGACCTTTGGGGGCTGAACGGTTCGATTGCCATGTTAAAAAAGGTATATGGGTTTGTCTGAAAATAGGGTATATTCCCAATTATAGCCATTTAATAGGGATAATGATCATTAACCATTGGGTCTAGGGGTACATTATTTTCAGACACACCCATATGAAGTTTAACATTCAGTTTCTACAATCATTGGGGGAGACCATAATGGTGTAGGAATGGAGGACAATAGAATTATTCTTCGAACTCCAACTGGACTCAACACATAGAGAGAGAGATGCTGAGAGTTTAGATATTGATACGGGTATGTCACGGCATATCCAACAGTGGCGTGTGCCCCAATGGCTTTCCGACGAAAACACACTATATTGGTGCGTTTTTTTCCCGATGCGATGTTTTTTTCCCTATTTCTTTTAATATTGTTTTTGGTGGGTAAGCAATTTTTTAGTGAGCACCATGTGGGTATGGGTCAAAATGATTGGACTCCTACACGTCGTCCACTAAGCATCATTGTTATTTATAACTATCATTTGATAGTCATCATTCTAAATCACCAATGACTATCATTAAATCACCAAATTTCAATAGTACCCTCTGGTAATCTAACATAGCTATTGAAAATGGTGATTTATAGTGGTTTTTCCCATTAAAAATGGATAAAAATGGTGATTTCCCATAGTTATGTTAGTTTACCAGAGGGTAATCGGTGACAACAATAGTTATTGATGATTCATGGCTTCACGGCACGTTGCTGGTTCATCCCTGATCGCCCTCCAGGCCCTACGAGCAGCACAGACGCATCATGAGAAGATCGACTTCGACGTGTCCTGGATTCGATGATCAAAAAGGTGCTTTTCCCATGGCCCAGCAGTTCCCCAAAAACCCCAAAAATGGATTTCCGTTCATTTCATGGAAAATCCCATCAAAGGGACTGATTTAGGGATAGGTTTATTTCAGCAAACCACCATAAATTGATCCATGGAATGGACATTTTCCTGGGAAATTAAATATCCATGATCTAAAGGGAAACGATTAAGGGAATGTTAGTTTAGGACCTTGGGGGTCCGTTTTGGCAAATCCCAGTTTTGGCAATTCTAGTTGGAAAATGTGGTTTTGCCTGAAAATATTTTTTTTTCGGGGTATACTTAGTATACCGCATGTATAGGAAACTGATCTATGAGTTTAGTGATTTGCACAGATGTTTCTTGGTGTGTCGGGATTTGGTTGAAATACCATGTTGATAATTTTTGCATGTTTATGATAATTTTGATCATCTATCCGTTTTGGCTTCTGCGGGTATGGCTTAAAATGATATGAGGGAAGCCGGGCGGAAGACCTGGGTTGATAGGTGATTGAGAAATCATCTCTTTGGCAGCGAGATTGCCCCCATAAAACCAGGGCTTCGGCAACACTGTGTTTATTTCTTAATATTTTTAAGTCCGTCTGTCTGCCTGTTTGTTTGTTGATTTCTTTGTTTGTTTGCCGGCCTGACACCATTTTTGGTGGCTAAATCCCCGTCTTTGTTGGCTGAACTTCTCTATTTTTCTGTGAGATCCTCATGGGTTTTTGTCTTCATGGTGGGATTATATCAGCGTACGCGCACGCTACAAAACAATGCCCATGTGGCTTGGTAAAACTGGCATTTCGTTGCTGAAAAATACCCATGTTTGTTTCTTAAACTGCAACGGCTCGCATGTGCTCGAAATCCCACACAGAAGATATCCACATCAACTCAGCAAACATTCAGCATTGGGTCAGCATTCCCATTCATCATGTACATGTTCATTGCTTAGAATCCAAATTTATAAGCCCCCGTATTTTTGATGGTTCAATCCAAATTAGTCCACATCTTCTGTTCAATATCAAACCGATGACTCATCCGATTTGGATCCAGAAATGGGTTTTTTTCGTTACCCAGAAAAGATCACGGTGGCATGGGGAAAATCAGCAATTCGAAGTCGCTGGATAAATCTGTGTCTTCCCCATCCCAGCAGTCTCCACATGAAAGATGACCATGCGTTTTACCATCCCCATAAATTGACAAGACATAGATGGCAAATAGCCCACATAGCCATTTTAATTGAAGCTTATTCCATAGTGTTTACTATGGATTACTTGAACCATGAAACAATACTGGTTGGTGGTTTGGAACATTTTTTATTTTTCCATATATTGGGAATAATAATAATCCCAACTGACTATATAATATTTTTCAGAGGGGTTGAAACCACCAACCAGAATACCATTGATTGGTTATTACAAAGGATATCTCCCATAACCTGGTGAATTTCTGGGGATTATGAACTAACGCGATTATCAACAGTAGAACGAGGTATTTACGAACCCATATCAATTAGCTCGATGATCATGGATACAAGGGATTATTATATCATTAGGTATTAACTAACCCATATTAAAGGGCTACGCCCTCTGCCGCCGACCCCTGGACACTGGAGGGTCATGCCTGCCTCTGTGTCGTAAGCATGAAATGAACCCTAAAGAAACCAGAAACTGACCTAAACAAACCATTTGTATGTGCGTTTGGCACTGTGCACATGCAAGCAGCATGGACCCCTGCAGGATGACACGCACAACTATGTGCTCTGACACTTTTTCATGGCTCAAGAAATAGGAGCTTTCGTCATTGGGCAGGTGTCTTGGGGACCTAAAGGGTTGCTCTAGCACTTAAGACCCGTACCCGAAGCCCCCGTTCGTAACCGCAGTATGAAACTTGAAATGGCATCCTAAAGAGACCCGAGACGACACTGCACTGCCAACTGCCACCCTGCTCGTGTCCTCCTGGAGCCGGCTTTCGTTCTGCACCGCTTCGGTCCAAGCTGGAGTCCAAGGACCGTGTCGCAGGGCTAAAACACCATGGCAGTGAAGGACGGATTGGGCCCGCGGCCCGTATCCTAGACTGCCAAACGTCACTTTCCGAACCGACTAGAAACTAGCTCCAAACCATTCCAAACCTTGACTTTTCCTGCGTTTCTGCACTGCCAACTGCCACCCTGCTCGTGTCCTCCTGGAGCCGGCTTTCGTTCTGCGGCTCCAAACCTTGACTTTACCAGCATTTCTGCACTGCCAACTGCCACCCTGCTCGTGTCCTCCTGGAGCCGGCTTTCGTTCTGCACCGCTTCGGTCTAAGCTGGAGTCCAAGGAAGGTGTCGCAGGGCTAAAACACCATGGCAGTGAAGGACGGATTAGGCCCGCGGCCCGTATCCCAGACTGCCAAACGTCACTTTCTGAACCGACTAGAAACTAGCTCCAAACCTTGACTTTACCTGCGTTTCTGCACTGCCAACTGCCACCCTGCTCGTGTCCTCCTGGAGCCGGCTTTCGTTCTGCACCGCTTCGGCCCAAGCTGGAGTCCAAGGACCGTGTCGCAGGGCTAAAACACCATGGCAGTGAAGGACCCCAGACTGCCAAACGTCACTTTCTGAACCGACTAGAAACTAGCTCCAAACCTTGACTTTTCCTGCGTTTCTGCACTGCCAACTGCCACCCTGCTCGTGTCCTCCTGGAGCCGGCTTTCGTTCTGCCCCGCTTCGGCCCAAGCTGGAGTCCAAGGACCGTGTCGCAGGGCTAAAACACCATGGCAGTGAAGGACGGATTGGGCCCGCGGCCCGTATCCCAGACTGCCAAACGTCACTTTCTGAACCGACTAGAAACTAGCTCCAAACCTTGACTTTTCCGGC